AATACAGGTACACGTTTAAAGCCAGCCCAGCTGGGACCCATTTCTATCATTCTCACGTTGGCTCGCAGATCGCGGACGGCCTGTATGGTGCGTTAATAGTTCGCAAACCACCGGAAGATGAACCACATAGGACCCTGTACGACGAGGATCTCTCCAGTCACGTGGTCCAGCTGGCAGACTGGTTTCCGGAGCCATCAAATGCACGTTTCATCCAGTTTGTGCATAAAGAGTGAGCTTTTTAAATTTTAATTAATTTATTTATTTTGGATGTCAGACATATAAACAGAGAAGTCAGCGTTATATGTTTTCATCGTCTTCCTTTTTTGAGACCATCAGCTTTTGAATATATTTAATTGCTGATGCTATGAAATAATGATTTTCTATTAATTGACCATTTACAATATCGTTCTAAAACGTCTGAACGTTCTCTGAAACCACAAGAATAAATTGTTTTTATTGCACCAGTGCACCGTATCTACCGTATCGATGTGCACAAAGTTTGTCAGACAGTGATTTTTGTTTCTCTACAGGCCTGACTTCTTTCTACCAGTTTCCTTACTGTTAAACGGGAGATCTGATAACTACGAAGTAAAACTAAGTTCCAACCCTAACATCACGGCAAAACCCCCTCTAGAAGTCTTTCACGTGACCCAGGGTAATCGATACCGCTTTCGCTTTACCAATGCTGGTCATATGAAATGCCAGTTTAAAGTATCGGTTGACGCCCACAATTTGACTGTCATTGCTGCCGATGGCGTTGATGTGAAGCCCTTGGAGGTCGATGCATTTGGAATAAAACCAGGTATATATGTATTTCTCATTACCGTGATATACATGTAAGGTTCTTGCAATCAACAGAGCTTGTGTAAACTAAGGTACGGGTAATTTACTTACAAAGCTGTCATCTCTCGCAGTACCTCTGATCAAGCATTTCAGGGCTTGAACTTAAGGTGACCTCATTGAAAGTATTATTTATTATTCCTTTGGTTTCAAATCACTTGATTTCAGGTGAAAGATTTGACGTCGTTTTGCATGCCAATCAGTCAGTTGGTAATTATTGGTTGAAAGCGGCAGGCTTAGTGGACTGTGGTTTCTTAGCGCATGTTGCCCTAGGAGTAATTAGATACGATGGCGCAGCTGACGAATACCCCACAGAAGACAGGAAGGCAAACAGACTCGGGAAGGTAATTCCTTCTTCAACATTACGTTTACTCTCTCTGTCTCTCTCTCAATTCTGTAATATGGGGATCTTGAAGGTGCTGCGATGATACAGTACTGAGAATAAATTCAGGCCCCTAGTGACCCCTAACCTGGAGTCCAACAATGGTGCCTAAAATAACTTCTAACGTGTATCAAGTTAACTCTGATGGAGTCACGCCATCCACAAGAGAGTCACAATTGACTGGACGCTTGATGTAACCGATTTTTAAATGAAAACTCAATCACTTTCGCGTCCCTTGGTACAGACCATAATACAATACTATTTTCTATGGCGTGCACGTGCAGAAAATGCCCATTAGGTGGTCTGTCAACAGTTGGTCAATGGAGCAATGTTAAAAAATTGCAAAGAAACCATGTCGACTAGTCTGCTCCACCAACGAACTTAAACGAGGCTTAACGTCCGGCGCACTAGAGGAATTCAGGGAAAAGGGGTAAGTCTGACCCTGGTTCTAGGGAAATTTGACCCTGATGTAAGTGTTCACTTTAAATGTAAAGAGAGGCAAGGGGTGACTGTCTCTGACAAGAGTCTTAAGACTGGCCCTGGGTAAAGTTTACCCTGATATAAGAGTCAAATTATCTCCATGAGAGTCCTACAGAGTCTTAAGACTCCAATTTTATTCTCAGTGATTCGCAAACCAAGTTTTCACTTTTTTTAGCTGTGCGCTAACGCCTGGGACTGAGAAATCATGTCTGTTCCCTCATTTATGTTTTCTTTTCAGAGCTTTTCTGTCTGCTTCTACGGCACTTACCCTTGTCACACACCCCACATTTGTCCAGAACCATAGTCCCTGATTGACCGTTAAGTTTTCTCAAAATCTACCAAGATAATGATATATTTATATTTGGTGTTGTATATGTTTCTCATATAGGTTAATCTTTTTTGAATTGTGTTTCTGCCTTTGCAGACCCTTGCTTGTTGTTCTGCAAAATGTCTTTAGCCTACGAAAAAAGCTATATTAGTGGAATGTTGCCATTTTGGTGTTGGTCGGCTCACCTGTATTCCGTAAATTGTACAATTATGGACAATATTCTGCCCATTTTCCACGATTTCTTTCTTTTCTGTAAAACATTAACCGTTTTTGTCATTCATGTTTGCGCCTATGACAAACAGACAAACAAACACAAACGAATGTTACAATATAACCCATTCTTGGCGGAGATATGACAAAAGCAACCACAAGCAAAGAAGTAGATATTGTCGCAAAGGTAATTTTAAACTACACATTATTTCAGTATTTGAATCCCACCTTAAGTGAGCCATGGAACCCGATTGCAACCCACGGACCGGACTTTGACATTCTCATGGACGAGTTGGAAAATTTCAAGAACGAAAATTTTACCGATGAAAATGTGGATGCCAAGTACTATCTTGGTAAGTCAAGTTGTTGCCTGATCCAACGTGGTCTTACTGGCACATTTTTTGTTGAGATGTGTTTTAGTCGGGATGATTGGTGCTATATATTGTCCAAATTGCTCAGCATGTGGAAAAAGCAGTACATGAAACTTGGCACATGAAACTTTTTCAACCTTCTGAGCAATTTTTGCACCAATCATCTAGAGTATTTGTGTTATATCTTCTTTTTTATTGCATTATAAATACTATTTCAAAAAAAAAAAGGAAATTTATATGCAATTCTATTTCATTTTATAAACCCTAAAGTTTAGACTGCTAAAATCGGCTGTGTAAAAAAAAGACTTTGTAGCATTGGTCTGATAAGGTGGCGCTTCTTGTGCCTTGGTCAAGGTTGTGCTGCACTCTACCGTACGGAAGTCCTTACGGGTATCGTATTTGAAATCGATTATACATTTTACGCACAATTTTGAGCTAATAAAGCTACCTTTTTGTCAATGGAATTAACCTATAGCAGCGTACAAAAACGTAGGAATGAACAACACACAATGGAGCAGCTGTGCTGAAAAAACTGAAAAAAACTTCAGGTGACAAAAGGGTGGGGATACGTTTTTCGCAGGCTAATCATGCGTTAGGTAAACGTTAAAAGTACTTTACGCAAAAGGTATAATAAAAATATTTGTGAAGATGTTTAAAACTTATTATATTCACTTGTATGAATTTGAAGTCGTGTATCTCTATATTCTGACCATATGGGTACTAAAAACGCTGCATCAACAGCGTTTTAATATTCTTGAAACTCGCAAGGACGGTGTGCGGCAACTGCACTTAGAGTGAAAGAGCATCGTATGATCAGTTTTCAAGCGACAAAACCGATTTTTCCCTTTGTGACTTCAAGGCTTTGTTGGAGAAATGACACAGCACACAGTTCCTTTGCATCCCATAGTCCAAAGAAAATTACCATGTAAAAACCGCGATGACCTCAACGATTTCATCGTAAGGCGCAAATGGAACCTTGACTTTATTTTATTTTTTAGGTATGGACTTTCTGCTTAATAACAATCCGAAGTTCAACCCTCCTATTTACTACCCTGCCGAGGAGCTACGTCCACCTAAAACACATTTAACTCCAGCTTTCGACAACGTATCTTTTTTTTTTTTCAGAACCATTTTTTATTTTTTATTCATATCTTCCCAGAGACCCAGAAAACCGTATATATACTATAATTATTAGTTTTTAACGGTACGGGTGTGGTTTGTTCGGTTGATGTAAAAAGAAGAAAACAAGTGATAATAATAAATCATTTTCTATTAATAACTGCTATAACCTGAATTAATTTCTAATATGTGAGCTTTCCCAACTTCTTATGTAAGTTTATTGGTACAATAATTAATCACTTCACAAACACGAAAATTATATAAAAACTGGTTATCTTCCTTAACGACCATAAAGATAACGTTTGCGTTCCCTCCTGTGCCCCTCATGACACAACCAGATGACATTGATTCCGCCTGGTTTTGTAATCACTCCACAGTTAATACCACCAACTGCGGTGACGATCTCTGTAAATGCACACATATGGTGGAATTCAAGCTTAATCAGGTAAAACGCCATTTGTAACTCTTTAATAATACAAATTCGTTCTTAATCTACTTTCAACAATCTCCGCCGTGAACCTCGTTAGTTTCTTTCTTTCATTGGTTTAACTTTTCTTATATTTCATTCATTAATTCATTTCATAATTATTAATATTTATTTTTATTTATTACGATAAGTGACGGAACAGAAATGGGTTATTATTTCCCCAATGTTTAAGGTTGTGGAAATGGTCCTCATCAACGAGGGTAAACCAATCCCAGTTGAGCATGCGCTTCATCTGCATGGTGCATATTTTCGTGTGCTGGGCGTTGGAAAGGTTTGTGTTAATTTAGCTATTTGTCTTGGAAAACATTTATCAGCATCGGTGTCCTTGGGCTGAATGCCACTGCATAATACGTTTAGCGACTCATTATTGATGTGTGAATACAAAATTTGTCAGAAATATGTAAAATCATATGGGGGCTTTAAAAAAATGACAAGTTGCCAATATACTGGCGAAAAACTGACAACAAATATGCATTTGAATTTCAAATTTTAGCTCGAGAGTTCTACTTCGGTTGAAGAAATAAAGACACTGCACGAGGAGGGTAATCTAAGATATAAACTTATAAGTCCTAGCTACCGTGACACAGTGATCGTGCCTGACAATGGATATGCTATCATACGATTTAGAACCGACAATCCAGGTAAGGGTTGAATATTGACATTCGAAATAAGAATAAACATACACTGTATTCTTTTTCTTGAATAATAAACATGGTTGAATTATTGATTGAAAAACATAGATGCATACATTCCTACAAAAAATGTATGCCTTCAAAAATGTTACTGTTAACGTAAATGATTCTTTGATTCTCAGGCAACGCACTCATCGCTAACGTTTATTTTTTAAATTCATTATTATAAAAAGGTTGATACCGCTTTCCGGTCATTCAAATATGCACTCAAAACAGCACAGAAGAATAATCGAATATCAAGTTTGGATTGGGCTTGGTTTTTGAAAGTTAAAGTAAGTACTTTTATTTACGTGTCTAATAATATTCTATTTCCATACAGGTGTCTGGCTCTTCCACTGCCATTTTAATGTTCATCTAAACCTGGGTCAAGCCATGTTGCTGAAATTTGGTGATTTTGCAGAGTATCCATCGATTCCAGCAAACCTTCCTCGATGTGGTAGTTGGGGCGGACATGTATACAAAGATGCAACTCACAGGGACCAATGTCCTAAACAACCTGTGCAGGAGTGTAAAGAACCAACCGCGACCGGAAGTCGTAGCCTGCCGCCATTTTCTTTGTTTCAGCTGGTCATTTTCGTCCTACAGGTCTCTTGGATAAAAGCTGGGCTGTTGTAGAAAGCATTTGCCTTTGATAGACTGGCGGCGACACGCTGTAGTTCACTTGTATTTCTTTCTTGTAAGATTCTAGTAGTGAAATTTCATTAAATGTCATACTATTAACTGACATGCTTACATACTAAAATTGTTATAAACAATTTAAGTATGATATACACAGCACAAAGTAGTCCATGATTGTGGTTGCGCTACTTAAACGGTGCAAGACCTTGATAATTGTATCGGATGGTCAAATAATAACGTTCTCCACTGTTGCGTTTCACATCTTAAAACTAAACACTTCAAGGATCTGTATTTTCATACACATGACCATGCCTCTGACCCGTAAAAATGATGACTCAGTCATTTTTATCTGGAATACGGTGATCATCTCTATCATCATCAAAGACGCTGCACTAGAAATTAAGTATTTGGTAAGTAAGATAAAAATGTACACAAAGCACTTACATGTACCTATTAACAACAGCGCGCTTCCATACAATGGTATTTGGTGAATGTCGTCGTGTACAGGGGTATAATCAATGAATTATTTGGTTTTGATGAATTTGAGGTGCGGTGCGTTTTTGTTAATCAACCCGAATTTTTTTTGTATTTTGAACACAATTCGCATACTATATTTTCAGCTTAGTACACTGGTTTCATCATAATATGATTTCACATATTTTATACAATTGCTATCCTCATTTTCAAACATATCTTGTACTTAAGGATAAGAAGCGGAAAACAATGGCTAAAGTGCGTAGTGTTATGTGCCCAACTAACCGCCAACATCTTCTTAGTGCAGACGTATAATACTCTGGATCAATAGATCATGATCATACGGTACAAAATGTAAAATTTCTACCTGAAATACCCAGTAAATCTTGTAAATTGTTCGTATACCACTGACTTTAAAAGCTACTATTTAAAACAAGCTGAAGCCTGTGTCACATGTACCGGGTAAAGTGTCCTTACACCGACATATAGGCCTCGTTGTCATTTGTAAATACTAGATACAACTGTCAGAGTGACTCATCCATTATTTTTGTTCAATTTCATATTAAACTTGACCATTGACAATTAATTCTTAAATAACTAATATTTTACCCGCAAATGTTTCTGTTTCTTCTTCATTGTAACATGTTCAAGAATGCTTGGATTCATACGTAGAATTCATACCGCATGTACATGTAGTGGGCTCGCGCATATATGCACATTGTATAAATAGGAACAAGAATGAACTTTTATCAACTTCGTAAAGCTAGTACATGTATGCCTCTTTTGAATCACACTGAATAATAAACATAGTTTAAGACATATATATTTAGATAGGATACTAGACAGATAGCTATATCATCAGATGTAATCTACACAGAGCCCATCTTCTCCAGGGCATTATTGAGATGATTGAGCTCAGCTTTGATGAACATGGTGAGGTCTGTGACAGCCCCCTTGGAGTCCAGACACTGTATACCTTGGGTGTACGGGTCATAGCGCAATTCACATCTTCTCCGAATCTTAGATGCATAACGCCTGAAATAAAATGTATTATTAAGCCAATTTGTTTTCCATATCATTTATGACAACTGACAACAGAGGTTCTGAAAATGGGATTAACAAGGTAAATTAATCAACTTCATTTACGTACAGTTATATTCAACGCCTACTTGACGGATATAAAACCGTATTGGAACCATGCTATCGGAACATAATTGCTAAAATATTATTCTTTCTGCCGAATCAACAAGGAGAAAAATATAAATTATACAGTTAATAAATTAATTTATGAACAGGTACCAACTGAGTCGAATTGGCGTGGTACGTTGAAACATTTACAACCGATTCCAGGAAAAAACTTAATTCTGTTATTTCGTCTACTAACCCTGTTTACACATTGTTGCGCCCTCGTTCACCAAGCTTTCAATTTTGTCTGGTATTACCTGACTTTTTCTTTCATGTCATCAAAAGACTCTGCCACGTAGTAAATGGGTTGGTATTCCACGTCCTGGTACTCCTGAACGGCCGCCGTCTGGGGGTCGAAGGCCCTTTGCTCTGGCTTGTCCGACAGAGCGTGCATGAGTTCTCCAAAGGAGGAGAGAAGACCAGCACCATAGGCCTTGATTTGACCGTCCTCTCTACACAGACCAAACTCAACAGTAAACCAGTACAACTGGAATGAAGATGAAACATTTCTGATTCACAAAACGTAATAATTGACGTTAGGATACACCCTTCCATGGGATTCATCTGTTTACATATCAGCTTTGTACTTAACAAGCTGCTATTCTGTCGTCGTTTTACAAAAATAATTTTTCTAAGCCACGCGCGTTACTGTTTTTACAACCTTAATTCTAATTGGTTTCTGGTATGCCTACCGTTGCAAATTTTTCAATATCCTCATCGGATGTGCCAAGTGAGGCTAAGCCAATCTCCTGCGAGAACTGTGCGAACGAGGGGTTGGCCAGAAGTGGAACATGCCCCAGAAGCTCATGAATACAGTCTCTGAAATGTGACAGGAAAAATCCTACGCTTTAGCTTTTACCGTGTGACCGGTAAATTCATCGATTCATATCTTTTATGTTTGAAGCGTGTATGTTTTGTGTAGTGTTGAAGCTTGAATGTTTTCTGTATTCTATCAGAGGAACACGCACACACTGCGGTACAATCATTAATTAGAATGATGAGACGTGTTTTCTATTTTATAACCAGTGCGATCGTACACATTTCAAAGCTGCCTGGAAGTCTTTTTAGTCAGGTTCTTTGTTTTTACTCTTTTCTATTCGTTTTTAATATGATAGGAATTCTATCTCGATTACTCACACCTACAGGTACTAATATTCTCATCTTAATTAATCAGTTATTTAATTTGACTCTGTCGTTAATTACACGTATCTATCCAACTATTCAAGAGTTGACAGGTATATCAATAATAAGTTATTCAAATAAGTGACTGCTTACGGCTCTGGAGAATGCATGGGGGCAGAGCCGTGCCGGATGTACTGTGTACACTGGAACACTCGGAAAGCCAGGCTGGCCAGGAAGTCACGGGCGGACAACAGGCCGGCCACGGGACGCAATTGAAATCCAGATTTTCCTAAAAAATGTATTTATTATAATTTTTTTTAAATGAAGATACCGGCTATGTCTTAGACACCAAATTAACGCAATAGCTATTTTTCGAAAATTTGTTAAATTGAAAAGTGATATATCTTGCTTTAAGTGATATAGTGATATATCCCATCACGTACAGGTTTACATAAATTGTATATTTTAAAAATTAGATCAGTGCTACATTTGCATGAGGTGAATATGGTCGGTCAGATTTAGAAAACGTGCCGATGTATAACTTGCAATGGAAAGATAAAAACTCAAGATTCATGAGTAGGCCTACTTGTTTGTCCTTTCGGAACAAATATTTCCGTAAACAATTCAGTTTCTTGTTCATTAGAGAATAATTATTTATTATGAAAAGCAAATGTTATTCATTTGAGCTTACTTTTTAAGAATTGCGACACATCCTCCAATTGCGGAATGCTGTTTGAGCTAAACCCTCCTTCTTTCTCCAAATTACGAAACACCTCTATGTGTTCCTTGCACGCATGCGTATTAAACAGGCTCACTAGCTTCCGGTAAACTGTGCCCCTGTGAATAGACAACCCGTGTTAAATAAACGTTTTATGTTTTCATCGTCAATCTTAACAATGAACGTGTGCCATTTAACGTGTTCATGCACACAATGATAATGACAATACTTTCCGAACTGATTCTTTTGTGTAATGTAGTGGTAATATGCCTTGTACTGTATACCAGTGTTCTGTCACCATAGCTTCAAAGAGTTTTAAATATTTAGCAGATATGATTTGCAGTTGCAAATTCCATAATTACCCTTTTCCATTGATCTCTCTTATTTTTTAAACCTGCCAAAATACGTCTTTTAATGCAAATGCCTAGTTATACAATATATGTAGGCCTACAACAAAACTTCCCACATGATAACTAACCAAAAACGTACCATGTTTGAATTTCCGTTTCCGTGTACTTAATGCGTGGGATTGGATCTCCACTGAAAGCAGATATATAAACAATTTATAGGATGTTCACAAAAATAAAATCAATATAAGGAATGAATGAACGTTTTACATATACTACCGGTGTCTTTTGTAGTTTTCTGCATTAACACACTTGCCATCTATTGTCTGTTATCTATTGTATTTGGGTCTCGGTATTTCGTATTAATATGTAAACATAAATAGACGAAGGGTCCTTTCAGCTGACACGTACGTGGGTTTTCATAGAAGTGCATTTGATAATTATACCTACTGTCGATATTCGAAAGCGATGTTTGCGATTTCCTCTCTCCTTTTTCTGTACTCTTTATCTGTGTAACCCTAGACAAAAATAACGTGACAACTATTAATCATGTTGTGAAAGTGACAAAGTGGTTAAATATCTTTTTACTAGAATTGCACCATATAAAAGAAAAAAGGCGTCTCGAGCTGTCTTGACAAATAAATAAAGAAGTTTGGGAGCATTTTTGGCGCCAAGGAATCGTCATTATTCATACATTTCACTTTCGATTTCCATTTACTTATTTTTTGGGCTTATTCATCAAGAAAGCGGTGTGACTCACAGGATGATCTGAGTCAAGCTCTGGTTCAAACTTCGTAATGAGATGGTTGCAGTAGTCAAGGTCTGATATGTGCATCGGGACCCATGCTACGCTTTCTGCAAAATAACATACAGCACGTACTTTTAATCGTTTACGATACATAATAATGTACATTACAAATGACGACATTCCCAAAGAGGTAATTATAAAAACCGTAAAAAAGATATGTTTGACATTAGGGAGCGCAAACACGCAAATCCCAGCGTCAGTTATATTGGTAACTATTAACAAACGAGTGCCAATGTTGAAGAATTAATCTTTACTATATAAGACCGTCTTTTAGCGAATTAAACGTGAAGGTATAGGTTATACAAGGTAATGATAAATAATATAATGCTATTCTCTTAAATCTTTCTTTAAAAACTACAGTAGGCCTACCTCAGAAGGTAATTTTACATCATATTTTATTTTACCTTTCTTAGTGTCCCCGGAGACAGTGGCTTCACAGATAGCAGAGTTCTGCCTTAATGCCTTCATTAGAGATGTTATGGCTTCTCTCGTAGAATCGCATTGCAAAAATATTTCAAACTGGGCTTCTATCTTACGAGAATTCCGAGATTCTATGTGCCGGATATTGACTTTGAAATTCTAAAAACGAAACCTAAAATTTAGAATCTACCAAGACAATTGGTTCCTGTTTCTTAGTTTGCCGTACTGAAAAGAATAATCACTATAGTTTTGTAGATTTTTTGCTGGAAAGTATATTTCATTGCTATGAAGTTATCCATTTTTGTCGCCCTTCTCAAGTGACCCAAAGCAGGTTTCGTTATAATTATAAAAAATGGTGGCACTTAAACTTTAGTCTGACAAAAATCAGTTATAAGACGATCAATGACTCTTGGGTAGTTGAAGCAGAATCCGTACTAAATTCCATCATTTTACAGCCATAATGTCAAAAATATTTTACAATTAAGAAGGAAGTAAGGAAGGAAACGGAGCGATAGCAGAAACTGAAAATCAATCACATTAAGCTAGCGTTTCCCGCCGAACAAGTGAAATTCATTTCGAAAATCCCATCAAGTTAAATAGCTGACGAGAGCAATGGAATATAGTATTTGCACAAGTATACAGCCATCCATCTTTCTTTGAAAATATGACCGGAGTAGACTTCAGCCACCTTGGCTTTATTCCAATCGACAGGCAGGTGCCCTACCATTTCACTTTCGCAAGGTGTGATGGCGATGTAAGAATTACTATTATTTAAAGTGTCAATTTTCCCGAAAAGGATTTTTGGATAATATATCGATTGAAATGAGTATGAGAAGAAAATATTCCAACCATGTAAACCATTCAATATTTCTCCAGCAGTTAAGCCGAAGAGACTTAAATTGTGGCTATACATGTAATACCTCAATCCAGCGGAACATGTAAAATGCCTCTAATAAACAAAAGTTCCTTAGAATGAAAGGATTTCCATAAAACATATACATAAAAAACGTACCTCAAATGTCTTCAAAATTTTCGGTAGAGCAGTCATTTCTTCTTTTAAGGAAAGCATAACGGAGCTGCTCCTGGGAGCAAGGTCGTCATGAAGAATATTATGGGCGTCACCATTTGGTATGAAAACATCGTCTTCTGATATGGAGCCATTCAGGGTTAGTTTTTGCTCTTGTTTCTCAAACTCTGCGTTTGTGATGGTCTCAAATTTGGCATCATCAATCAGGCTCTTACGGCGCCAGGAGCCTCCGTGCTGAAGAACAAAGAGGGCTCTATGGTTTGAGATTGTACAAGTTAACAGTGGCTTGTAGTAGTTAACGAACATAAGGACATATACATGTAACAGTAATAAAACATATACATAATAGTTATACGTACGACCGTGAATTACACACAATGGACAATAGAAGTGTCACCCCCTGAATCAGAGTAATCAAATAATAATCAAGTAGTAAATAGTCAAAGTAGGCAGATCTTGAGTAGTTATAATACCTGGTGTTCATTATTTATTTATTTATTTATTTATTTTGTGAAATTTGATGTAAATAAAATGATACCAGGAGCATATCATTCCACAGTCATTTATCTCCCCAAAAGTATTGGTTCAGTAAGGGTGACACTTCTATTGTCCGTTGTGTGTATCTCAATGTTTATTGAGAACATTTTGTTTCTGAAAAGATATACCTGTATGTAGTATAAACTGCACAGCGACTTGATTTGCATTGTCTGTTTTTTTATACCAACAAGCGTTTTGAAAATGTAATCATTATTTATTTATAACTACAGCTGCGGGTCCTAGTGAAAACTTTACTGAGATCGAGGTATTTCATTAATGGCATGTCACCGTCTGTGACATACTTAGGCACTAGTGTCATTTACGACTGTCAATATTGCGATTTTGATTAAAATACGAATCAGTGGGTGCTGGACCATAAGTGTCACATATGCATCGTTACATCATGTATGTATGTGTGAATGGTAGGCCTATGTCAAAAACGTTCAATTTATAAGCATTTTCCATTTGATTTGATAAGAAACAGAAAACCAAAAACATTTTGTTTTCAATAACAAATACAAAGCGTATTTTGAGAGCTATTTTACTGTAATTGAGCATTAAATAGACAATGAGCTAAAATTACGTTCCTATTTATCAAAATTTTAAACAGTATCTTTTTAAACAGACAGACTTAAACGGAAACCACTCGAAATAGCCTAAAACTGCCTGACGTCATATGAGAAAATGCAAAAACCCGCATGAGGTGATGAGGCTGTAATGGTTTGGGCCAGGAATGTCGTTGAAAGCAATAAGATAGTGACATGCAAATCTTGGTGAATTTGGAAAGTTGTGGAATAGACTGAAATTCGATAGAAAAATAATCAGAAATATCCATGGAAAAATCAGTTTTTGTTCTTTTCTGCAACGCACTCGCTGACCTTCTCCAAAACCTGACAAATCTCGCTCAATTTTACGGTAAGTCGCGAGACTTAGGGTGCATTCCCAGAGATTTACATCGATCCAAAGATTAAGATTTAGATCGACCTAACTCCCTGGGGGTTCACGCTAAATTGCAGTCAGCCGAGCGCGCACCATAGTTACTTACTCCCTTACAGCTTTTAGTAGGCGGGACAGACGCTTAAGCCGGCTAAGCTGACAGTAATCTAGTGAGACTCCCCACAGGGATAGATCGATCTAAAATCTATGGGAATGGGGTCTTAAGTCTGTCTCGGATGATTTCCACAGGCATAAAGCATGCGGTCCGAATCATTGATTTGGATTTACCTGTTTATCAATGGACGGACGTTACCACCACACCTTATGCTACCGCCAAAGAGCCAGCTATTAGAGCTGGACAAATATGTTGTTTATACACCGATTGTCCAACAAACCTTAGGGTAGGAAAGTCGATAGACGTATAAGTGACGAATACTTTCAACAGGAAGAAAAACGCGTGCGTTTAATGTAGAACCCGCGGAGCACCGTTTCATAAGAATTATATCTGGTTTCAGTGCCTGCCAATCGCGATACCAATCAGTGATATAGAAATTAACGCTTGACGTGACAATCAATGTTTACATAATTTGATTGGATGATAAGCGCAATATCCATATTATAATTGTGCTTTTATTCACGTAATAAAATAGGAAATTGTCCATTTTGAATGTTTACAAAGCGACCGGGGTAAAGATTGGCGCGTAGGCAACTTCTTGCGTGATTTCTGTCGGTGAAATTTGTGTGGATCCAAAGTAGGCGGCCTTTTAATGAAAATGAACTCGATATGATTAGGAGTTTAGAAAGGGACAAAAAGTGCGATATTTACCGAAATAAATGGCACAGCTTTCTACTTAGCCTTTTTTTCGTAATTGTGAAGTATTTAGTTTTTATTATCTTTTTTAAAGAAATAAATCGATGGCGGTGATTATTTTTAAAGAAATAAGCCAATGATGGTGATTACTTTTAATGATTTTGCTCTTAAAACCCAAATGCTTTTATTTCCTATGTTTATGCCACGGAGCACAGCCACACGTCACGTTGCACTAAGTGGGTGTACTTGAGTATTCTTGGCAGTGTCTCCGTGCGCTTCTGGGGAACTTCAAACATTCGCAGTGCTTTATTCAAACAATTTTTCAGAAATCTTCACAGTTAGAGTCAACAACGTGTAATCAAGCGCGGTTATGAAATCTATTTTCCTGGCTGGAGGTACCATTCAGCGCGTCCCTCCACAATGCCTCATTAGGCTTCTAAATTTGCGGGATTGCCATTTTATCCCGCATTGACTTCAGTCTATTGAAAAGGTTAGCAAGTCAAAAACGACCGACCCAAAGAGTCCTCCGGGGACGTTGCCACTGTGCCGGTAACGGAACTCACCATCGGTCTTTAGGCATGCCGAACAATTCAGCTAAATGCATTAAGAGCAGTCACCATAAGGTAGTCTGAATTGCGTGTAATGGACTGATGGTACACTTAATTCAACTCATTCTTTCGATGGAAACATCTTGTCGAACGTTCTATTGTTCGGTCTTAGACAAATATTAAAAACGGTTCCGATCTATTTTGGTTACGAATTAAGAATAAGAAGTCAATAAACACGCCTGAAAATAATTGGTCTTTACATAAGATAACAACGAACGCACTTATTTAGCGCTTCATCAATATTCTGTTGTTTTCCCTCCTTAAGTAAAGAGAGCTAAAAATCAGATTCAGTGCTATCATTTATATTTTTTAAAAATCATTTCAATATTTCCTATCACCTTAGAACTGTATCCATTTGATAAGTGTCTTGTAGAAGAAATCTGAGACAACTGCCTAGAGCAATGATCAATGAAGCTTAAATCTACTAATCTCGCGTAAAGAGCAGGTGACAAAACCAAATTTGGGCTAATGCGATAAGAAAGGCACGCTTTTTGTGACTTTGTGATACTTGAATAATATTTGTTATTCTCTTGGAGCTCTAACAGAAATCATATCAGCAAAAAATATGTGGTTGCCCCAGGTAGGCAATTGCCATGATTGACCAACTCACCATGCCTAGTGATGCCTATCCACATCAATGTGTGACGATTTTTTGTATTTACACTGTTACTGGAAAAAGGTGCCTGGGTCGAAAAGCTTTCCTACCACTCTTCTATAAGTTTTTCGATTCTCTTTCAGTTCATTTCAAGTATTTCGAATTACTTATTTCTTTGCAAAGGAAACTTCAAGTTATAGAGAAAAGGACAACTTCACACATCAAACCACTTAACGAACTGACATTTCTTGCGATGATTCGATTAAATAAGCCTACACGAATTCTAGTTTTAATTGTGAAAGTTACTTCCTGTTTTGAAATCAAAGAGGCATTTAGTTAATCCGCAGGTTAATGTTTCGTGGAAATTACCTACATTTAAGAGTATGTACTGTTGAAATTGACAATGCCCCTACCTCGATGCTGTAACTCTTCTGAAACGCCAGGCGCCTCTTTGCAGTTTCTGGGTCCACTGATATCGACATGGTGTTTCTTTTCTTTGGGAAAGCACGTGTGCAGAACTTGGTTCCAACTACTGGTCCTTGCTACCAACTTTCAAAGAAATCTACTTTCTCTCGAAAAAGAATAAAATGATTTTATTTTCTGTAGCAGAGATGTCAAAAGTCAACGTGATTTTGCAGTTCCCTGGTGCTCTGGCAGTAGACAGGTGGGAAATGCTTCATTGAGCCACGAGTATAGATTTTTATAGACGAGGTCTGTTTAACATCATTTATGAATATGCAATACAGCTAGTTATTCAATCGATGAAAAACTGAGCAAAGTTCACGTTCACATAAGCTGTTGTATAAACTGGTCAGGCATCCCAGCGATCAATTGTCTCCTTAAAATTGCTACTTGATTTCACCTGTTGTTATATGTCAGAGAACGATTGATTCGTGGAATAATTCGGTAGGAAACAGCGCGGGCGTATTATTGTGCTTCAGAGTAAGTCTAAATTGCTAATTCATGTCCCTTATTGCAACTATGCTCTTTAATTGTCCATCAATTGCCCATGCGATATTGCAATTTATAAAGTATTCAAATACGAAGAATGGTAATAAAAGAATGCTATCAGTTAACTACTTTTGACATTCCAATGGGGAAAGCATACAAAGTTCAACGTCAGACCATTTCAGTTGGCTTTGTTATTTCATAGACTTTTAGTAATACATAATCACAAATACAATCTAGGATTACAAAATTGTAAAAAAAAAGTAAGTTTACATCTGAAATTGATGGAAAATAAGCAAAGAAGAGAGGCAGTTTGTCAAAAGTTTGACCTAAAACCGCAGTTATACAAATGTGTGTTACAATATAAGGTTGCATGGTGGCACTTTGCCAAATAAATATTGGCACTATGCACGAGTTACCCATTCATTTGATATTTACGAAGTGGCTAATTTTTCAGATATCCTGCAAAGCAAGATTGTCATCATAAATAAAAGTCAATTTTCTGAAATGACAGGTTTTTAAAAGTAAACACTTAAAGCAAGTCAAATGCAAGTTGCAAGTAAATGCAAAGGGTAAATGTAGACAGCAGGAGCACCAAATCATATGACAGAAGCTTGGTTAATAGTTTCTTTTTTCGTTAGAAGAGGCATTTTGGATTATATACATATTCCTGAGTTTTACAATTGTATATCATATTGTAAAGTTTCGCATGCAATAGACGCCTCTTTCTCTCTCTCTCTCTCTCTCTCTCTCTCTCTCTCTCTCTCACACACACACACACACACACACACACACACACACACACACACATGCAATATGGAAGTTATATACAATTGTTCCATTTCATAAAACATGCATTTGTGAAAGTTTTGTTTAATTACATTTGCGAACAGGAAAAATGCCAGCCATCCATTACAGCAATGTCAACATGCCCTGTTCCATCAAACCGCTCGGATTATAAAGGGGACATAGATTTCGATCGGTTGAATGAATGCGTGACGATGAGCACAACCCAGTGACAGAAAGACAGAAAAGGGTGTGTTATCCCAACGTTGTTGATTAGCCGGAATATTCTGTGTTCCATTCTGTGACGTCAACAAACCCGGAAATTGAAATCAATATGTGAGTCTGGTTCCTGGGAAAACGGAATGCTCTGTTTCCAGGAGGGTTCAGCCTGTTGACAATCAAAAGCCACCATTTTCACTGTCTCAAATTACAAATATAGATTATACTTAGCAAAGTAAAAAATACTACTTTGGAGACAAACATGTTTGATGAGCAACAATGGAATCATCAATTCTCTACAAAAAAAAATAATTATAATAAAATAATAATAATAAAATAAATAAATAATCATAATAATAATGACAAAAATTTTAATTTGTATGGAAGATACTGCGCGTTGCTTTAACTTAGATCAAAGTAAAACTCTCCTGCTCGCTACTAGAGGCCAGATTGGTAACAAATAAAAATACTCGTCGGACCTCTACAAGCATGTCTATTGGCCATTGGAACGCAATGATCTATTTCACTTGCAAGGGCTTGTGACGTGATCCGCCTTCGCTTATCTGTCGGGCAAAACAGTCACGTGGTAATGAGCACGCTCGACTGTCACCTTCATCGGTAAATGAACCTAATGAGACATATCTTTCCATAATCCAGGGTGCAACTGAAAATAACCTTGTCGCGCGACCTTATTTTGAGCGTTCGACATTTAAACGAAAACGTTGGGTTGTTATGCAAAAGTATGACTCAGAATTTCCATAAAATGATGCCTAGTTTTTTTTTTTTTTTTTTTTTAGATACTAGCAGGTGTGCTTGGATTGAGGGTGATCTGTTAGCTCTTTGTATTTTATTTGTACTTGTATCGCGCGTATATATTCAAATACTTCATCAGTTTCGATCGCTTGTTCTTCACCATGGAAGACTGCATTGTAGTGTGGTATTCTAAGGTCGTTTTCTGTTATTTTTAGTTTCATGAAAAACAGCCGAGAAAACGCGAGATCAAGCAATTAATATTAGTGCAATTAACTACTGTCTTGTTTGCAGCAACTAGTTTTAACAAAGTTACTCCTTGTTTGCAGTAATACAAGGGGGACTTGGTACCCTCTACCAGGGCCGCAGTTATTATTGTGGACATTTTTTGCTCAGATGATGCTCGTTACGCAACCTGTCTAAGGCTCCGTTGTGTGCTGAAACTAGCCACGTGATTAAGGTCAAAAAGGTCAAAGCAATTACCTGTCTTGATTGCTGTCTAGCAGACTTAGGGACCTTTCCCACAGATATTTGGATCGATCTATCAATTTAGTGCGACTCCACAGGGAGTTAGGTCGATCCAGACGGACCTGCCAAGTGGCAGTGCCTGAGCAGTTATGCAAACAATTACCAGCCATGTAATCAGCCTTGAGATTCCATCATTCCAGGGTGACATCAGACCAAAATGCCTGTCTATTTATCTAGAGACATATCTGTGAATATTTGTAAAAAATCAATACGTCGCCCTGGTAGAGGGTAGGGACTCGGCAGAAACTTGTCGAGTGGCAGTGCGAACAAAAACCAACCCTCTAAACGTCACTTTATATATATATATATATATATATATATATATATATATATATATATATATATATATATATATATATATGTTAGCCACGAGCATATATGTGAACGAATATGATGAAATATCTCTCTCTTCCTTTAACCTCCTTTTCACCTGTCTTACACTTGTGATAGAGAGGTGCTGTCCTTTATCCTAATCACTATTCTCTGTCACAGCTAATACATTTCTTCTCTGGCACAGCTAACACATTCTTCTCTGGTACAGCTAACACATTTCTCTCTGATGCCGGTCGCGGGTTTAAGTATCTCCGCTGATCAATATTTCGGATGTTACACTTTGTCGGACGTTCGCCTGGAAAAAAAAGAGGCCATAGAAAATGTGTGAGTGTTGCAACTGATAGCGCAGACTTCAATTAAATATTCTGAGTCTCAGAGCTATGTACACCACACAGTTGCCACGGCGCAGTGAGCACTATGGAATGAAGGCATAATAGACGTGGAGCATTGAAGTGATTCACTGATCTATGGTGATGTATCGATCTAGGCCTGCCGTATGCACAACTTATTGTAATAATGAGCACTAATATATATCATGTATTAACCAAGGGATCGCTAAACAGGCGTGAAATGGGACACGAAAATCTACATATACAACGTTAATATTGGCGCAAGACCATTGAGTAAAACATGGGATGGTTGAACCCTCATGTTTTACCACTCCACCCCCTTGAAGATAAGTCATAATGGGGGAAGCAGGTACATATCCTATCTTTTAACTAATGCATCTAGTATGCAAATTGGGGAGAGCTTCCATATATATGACTGAAGACAGACTAGCGGCTTTGAAATCTGGTAAAAAACGACCCCTCGAGTGACGTAGCTCGTTCACTGTTGTACCAAATACAGATTAATTCTATAAATACACTCCGTGAAATACCACATCGGTATTACAGTGAAGCAGTAATCGGGGCTATGTTAATCAATTCAACACTTCAGCGATCTTCGCTCGCTGTTTACCGAACTCCGCGGTCCCTGGGACTTGGGATTCACTTGGCAGTGTTACAAGGCGTATAGCAAATGTATACACTTCTTCATGTGGATAACAGACCGGGAGGGAGTGTTCATCAGCTACGCACACATAGCCACAGGTTATCTGTTTGATTAATCATGTAGACTTGCGTATTCCGTTTTCCATTCACTGGAGCAGCAAGGAGGATCTATCTGATGCGTTATAGAAAAAAAAACTAAACAGTACCTACCATTTAACAGGAAAACCAATCTACAGTACAATTATGTCAGAGGACAAAGAAAAAGTAGTTTTTACAGAGGACAAAAAATCTAAGGCTGAGGAAGCAAGAGAGCACACAACTCCTCGGCTTTTTCTTAGACGGTGGCTTATTTTGTTGTTATTTTGCTGTTTTTCCATGAGCAATGCCTTCCAGTGGATCCACCTGAACATCATTGGGAACATTATATTACGCTACTACAATGAGAGTCTTCCAGGGGACGAGTTCCAGCAGCAGCTGGCAGTGGACTGGCTGTCTATGATCTACATGCTGGCCTACATCCCCCTGATCTTCCCTGCAACATGGCTGCTGGACAGGAAGGGACTGAGGGTGGTGAGCCTGGCAGCAACCTTTCTGAACTGTCTCGGAGCCTGGCTGAAATGCGCCAGCGTCGACCCCTCGAGGTTTGGGGTCCTGATGTTCGCTCAGACTGTGTGCGCCATCGCACAGATCTTCATACTGGGGATCCCTGCCCGCCTGGCCGCCGTGTGGTTTGGACCCAATGAAGTGTCCACCGCAACTGCTTTAGGTGTCTTTGGAAACCAGGTACATAGCACCTTTTTATTTTTACTAATTGATTAATCTGCTATATTCCTATCGCATGCATCAATCTGATCAATCAGGACAAATTCAAATTGAAATATTTGAAACAATTACCGCAATTTCAATTACCAAAGACTTGAGCTATTTCAAGAAGAGGTTGTAAATATTGACATTACAGTGTCGCTGTAGTGTTGTGGAGATAATGCGCACTTTACATCGACAGGCAGCTTTTTATCCTGACCAATTCAATGCTGAGCTGTTTATTTGAAACAATGAACTTAGAGTCAGCAGAAGTAAGAAAAAATCAATATTGCACAGATTGGACGCATTTTCAGAAACAGGCTGTTTATCACTGATGCCGTAGTGATATGCACAACTTAGTTCATTCATTCTTGTTTTAAAAGGGACGCTTGCGGCACCGTTAGCATTGATAAGCCTTTATCAAAGTTTATCCTGCATCGGGGTATATTATTGCTCTCTGGCCGCGGATAACGACATAACTCCAGATGAAGATCAAATCTCATCCTTGTCTCATCCGTGTTGATACACACAGATGCGAACTTTTCTTTGGAAATGCGCCAGTTATTTTTCCACCTATAGACTTTTAACTTTTACGTTTTTAAAACTTTTTATAAAGTATCAATTCCAGTTCATCTTATCGCTGCTTGAAAGCACTGCGAAAGATCAGTGCGACCCCCATTCCTTTGTGTAAAGTTCACGTTTTAATCAAATTAAACCGTAGTGAACAGTGACATTGCGCCTTGTGATGACCTAAAAACCCCTCTGTTTGCGTCAAAGTTGGGATTAAAAACTAAAACACCGAGGGGGGGCCACCAGCAATACATAAATATTAGGAAAAGGGAAGTGTTTTTGTTTTTTGTTTAAAACGTTTAACTCGGTTTTTTTTTTTTTTTTTTTTTTTTTTTTTTTTTACTCGCTTCTTAAGAGATTTTATACATTCAAGTAGTTTCACAAATACGTTAGTTTGCATGTCAAAATATAAATATCTTTAAAATAACTTATTTCAAGAAATCAAAAAGATATATTTAGTCATTTTTAACAAGAAAACTAGTTACACTTTTGGCAGAGCTCATTCATTAAATCCATTTGGTACTTGCCACTCGTACATGTATAATATCATCTTAAACACGTCAACTGTCCATCCATTTCCGAGCAATGTCGCCGTCATTTATCGTGTTGTTGTTCTTAAAACGTCGCTTTGCTGACGTAGTTAAATGGTAACTTGAGGCACCGATTAATTTCGCGTATTTGGCAATCCTTTATGGTATTTGCCGCTTGAACTGGTGGAAGGAGGAATAAAATAACTTGAATTTAATGAGGTTATTCTTCGAAGTTCCAAATTATCAAAAGGAGTCATTGAACTCCGGCCTGGCTAATAGTGGCGGCAGGTAATGGTGGGCGGGGAGGTGCTATCGATTAAGTGAATGAACCTTGAGATGTTTATGGTCCTGTCATGCGATATGTGCCTCGATTGAAAGATGTAGGTGGTTGACTTTACTGTGGATGCCCTATTTATCTTTTGTCACTCAGATACTAAGGTTAAAGGGAGTTCGCCGTCAAATGACTTTAAATCGAATAATTTTAAGAGAAATTAGCCTGCAGTAAGAAATAGTATGTGTGCTAGCAACGTCAGCACCGACCTCTTCCTACTTATGCTGTAGATCTATGCCTCGGTTACAGATCCCTTGATATACACTGTACCACATTCTTAGAAGTTCAACTAAATGAGCAGATATATCACTGCGTGTTGATTATTCCTGGAAGAATGGATCATCATTCCGTTATCTTAAAACACAAAACATTAGGTATTGGGCTTCAGGACAGATAGATAAAAGACATAAATGATACACTGATTTATGAGAAGAGTTACAGCGATTTATCTCTGGGATGAATACTTGACCCCTAGGACCAACAACACTTTCGGGCTTGCAGAGCTTATTAAATAAATAAATTTATATGAATATTTATTTAATAAATCCAAATCTAACCGCCTAACCACACGCAAATATCCCTAATCAAACTACAATCAAACTGTAGATCAATATATCATGTCTTACTGGGAAATTATTATTTCTTCATTATTTTTATCATTTGATATCCCGTAAGCCTGTAAGAAAAAAATCCAATCTGGGTGGATGCCACGAAGTTCGAAATTAAAAGGAATATTATGTACTGTGAAACATTTCCCAGCTTATTGAATCAAGGTTGATGAACGACTGGCGGCAGTAAAGGTTCCCAACACTAATGACTTTTGTGACATGTTTGGCTGTTATTATTATCATTATTTTAGTTTCACATGGGCAGCTTCGTAGTTCGATATCACTATACCGGGGATTAACCTTGATGCTCATGTATGGACTGGAAATAAAGTTAAAAGATTGTTTAAAATTCTACTCGAAAAGTGTGTGTGTGTGTGTGTGTGTGTGTGTGTGTATGTGCGTGTGTGTGTGTTAAGACGTAAAGTTATATTTATTTACATTAAATATATTTATTTACATTAAATATTTACTTATTTACATAAAACCAAATATATAAGCTGAAGATGTGAAATCGACGTAGTGCGTTATCCATGCTGTTGGTGGATTATTATGTAAAATATTTCTTCGTTTCATTTCAGGTGGGTGTAGCCATTGGTTTCCTAGTTCCCCCTGTGATAGTGAAGAATCACGACGACCTGAATCTGGTGGGGCGAGATTTCAGCATCATGTTCTATGCAACAGCAGGGGTGACCACTGCCCTTTTCTTGCTGGTTATTACAGGTGTACCGTGTTGGCTTATCCTTTTTCTTACCCCCACTTTCTCATTTTCACAGGTTGAACATAAATACCCTTTTTAGTGGCGCTCTTAACAGTCAATCATTGGAAAAGAGGAATATTTTTGAAATAGAAAAAAGTATTATTCAGAAAAAGGTCAAAAGGAGTTTACTTTTTTTACAATGGTATATGTTTAAAGTATAACATGTACAAAGTAAATGTCACAAATATTGATACTGTACTAATGGTAATTTTATTTTTTTGTGTACAGTTTTTAAAAAACAGCCTCCCACACCTCCTAGTAAAGCACAAGCTATTATTGTGGAACAAGCAGCTGAAGAAAAATACAGCCAATCTCTTGTCCGCTTGGTAAAGAATAGGTGTTTCATGTTGCTTATGATTACCTACGGTGAGTGTATTATTGTCGGTGAAGGGTGAGTTACGATCGTAATACATTTTCCACGCGGGATATTGGCCCGTTTGTCTGTTGATAAGTTAAAGGCATTATTGAAACGCTTCGTATTTAAGATAATGTAAAGTAATATATGCACCAACATGTGTCTTTTAATTAAACTATGCTATCAATTTTGCTGAACATGCAAATATTTCACACTGTTTGAAAAAATAAGGAGGTGTAAAGGAAAATTAGTGACAGAAAGTAAGGGACAATAATCTTCTTACTATCGTTGTCATTCCTTTTCGACTTACTTAGGCGTAAGGATTTATTGAAGAAAGATTTATATTTTTAATCTTTCTTACTTATTTTCTATAAATCTCACGGTATTGGATAGAAAGTTGACCCTTAAAACGGGATGATCTAACTTCAAACACCAGTGCATATGCTCAACACACCTTTTCAATTTTAACACAGATTAAGCTGTGACCTATAAACATATATTGCATAATAATACAGCTTGCACATTCTGTCAATTGTGAACATGAACGTACTTGATAACATTATGTGTCTTCAAACACGATGGTAAAGGTGTGTGCCGTGCTTGTGTTTATCCACGTGTTGGAGGAATGATTTAACGTGCTGTAGCCGATTCTTCTTCAAACTAATCACTAACCATACAACACCGGTATTATTTTCATTGCAAAATGTTTTTCTTACAAAGTAAAGTCACGCGTTTGTAGTAGTTGATGTGAAAGGAGCGCATTTACGTTATGTGTGTTAAACATTTGTTTTAATCATGTCTTCTTGTGTCTGCACGTTCACAATGCTGGGTAACAACAGTGGGTCATCTTTGATAGTCTGTCAAAATATTCATATGTGTTGGATTACAGTAGGATTGCTTTCATGTGAAAGGGGATGGGTTTGTCTTATTATAACAAACAATTTTGTGTTTCCAAACATTATTGTGTATTTTAAACTTTTTAATTCTTAGCCGAAAATGACACTCGAACAGCGCTTAAATCTGGGACACAGACGAACATGTACCAGTCTGTTTTGCAGCTGTACCTTATGGAAAAGAAAGCGCTCAGAATAGTATTGTCATGTTTATTGGTCATCTCAGCGATCATTTATGGCGTACACACTAGAGAAATACAAAATTGTTCTTCAAAGCAAATTTTGATGGGTGAAGAAAACGGGTTATTGTGCGTTACAATCGTTTCCGTTTTCAACTTCGGTACAACTTATGAACTCAATTTCGAGATTTAATTACCTAAAATACACTCTGCCTTTCAAAAAACAACAAGGTGTAAGGAAATCCCAAAATCTGAGCGTGTAATCACAGATGATATGACCCAATCCTTTTTCGATTACTTTAGACACGAACAACAGCGAAACCACAGCTTGCGTGAAGTTTCGTTTCCCCATTCGGATTCGGCACAGGGACATATCTTTCATAGTGGAAATTACCATTGATGACGTAATGACCCGGTCACACTAACATTAAATGAGACTAATTAAATTAGCTATATCTGGTTCCCAATTTTTAGCGTTTAACGCACGAGGGACGATTTCATGTCATCGCTGTTTAATCGCCGATTCAGGATCGCAGCATGCTTTCCCAACTTTGTTAAGTTAGGTTCAATCTTCCCTGATTATTTTCATATGTGTTAATGTTACATTTTCCAAAATTTACGGACATAAAGCAAAATTTGATGCATATTCTAAGCGGAAAGCGTTCTCACAAGATTGGCGCCATGTTGAAATTTTGATGCCCATGTCCCACTGTTGTTACCTGTGGACCTGAAGATGTAGGAAAAAATCGGGCGTCTAATTTGTGTACAGTGCATTTCAGTTTACAGATTTCCGTGCATCTGCGCGATAGTAATTAGCTTTCAAGACCTAACCAGATAACATGCAGATATACATGATCATATACTGTAGAATTTTTCCCTTCTTGTTATACTTGAGGCCACAAAACAAATCCGTCGTGCAAAATATAATATAACATATGTGCATGCAATATATAATACCATGGTTGCGTTTTCTTTGTGGTCTCACATGTTGCAACCGATCAACGTTATGCAACGCCTATAGAGAGCATTGCATCGTTTTAAAGTGGAGACATTATATGTAGATTTTCAAAGGTTTTTACTCATTTCGATATAGTGTGTATGCAACGTAATTTGAGCTTTTTGCAATATAATACTGGGTTCCCATACTTAGATCGATCCATCTGAATCGACCTAACTCCCTGGGGAGTCTCACTAAATTGCTATCAAATAACCTGCTTATATGTATGTCACGCCTACCGAATCACCTAGGGGGTAAAAATAATAACCCTAACAGTTTTACTAGGCCTGACAGACATTTAAGCCGGTCAAGTCGACAGCAATTTAGTGAGACTCCCCAGGGAGATAGATCGATCCAAATATCTATTGGAATTGTCTCTAAGTCATTAGGTACCTCAATTTAATATTTCCATTCAGTGGTTGATTGATAATTAAACGTATCATTTACGTGATTTCCATGCTTGGACAGGCTTGCTCTTTGAAGTATCATTATCTCATCCAAATAAGGGTTTTTTAATACAACCATGTAGCACATTAAAATTTAGATTTTAGAATTTTTCATGATGCTCTTAGATAATGCTGTCAATTGTTTTTTTTTTTTTTCCAGGAGTAAATACAGGGTCGTACTATGGGATCAGCACCTTGCTCAATCCATTAGTGCTGTATTATTGTGAGGTATGTATCCTAGGCAGCATTGCCAAGAATCCAATATCACTCACGTTTCGGGTGGATAGAAATGTCCTCAGCTTTTGGTGTCAATAACTCAATTCTATCCGTCATTATCCATTACACTAGTTCACGGTTTTGCTTCTGGCAGACAAAAATATTGACTCGACAGCTATTTATGCATGCAACAGTCGTGTGGCGTTCGATACAAGAATGATACTTCTGGACGTTTCTTCATCACCGATGTACAGGTACAAGTAAGACGCGGGAAGCCCAAATTGTGTTTTAGTTTGATAAAGCATAGACGTTATTTCGCCCAAGTTTGATTCAGGAATGTTTGTTTTTCTATTCGTGCAGTCTGTCAACCGTATGACATTAAACAAACCATAAGTCAATTTTAAAAAAACGAGCAAACCCATATATTTCACACTGCGTGCAGTCTTATTGATTCCGTTCCTGTTTTTAAATGATCAACCAGGCATGTCATGTGTGCTTATATCTCAATTTCCTAATAAATATTGAATGAAAAAACTATTACCACGATATTTATTGTTTTACAATTCCCAGTACACTCTCTCCTTTAACTGCGATTCTTCTTCGCCACCCAGAATAGGAATTGTCCGAAATATACGTACATATGTACAATGTTATTGCACGGACAATATTAATATTTTCTTATCTTTCAACACTCTCACTCAGGTACGCACTTATATATTTCATGGGGTGAATTTTCGTTTACCTTTCCTGCAAATTCTTATTTATTTCAGAACTGTGAGGAACACGCCGGGCGCATAGGCCTCACCATTGTCTTAGCGGGAGTATTAGGATCCATTGTAGCGGGCATTTGGCTGGATAAAACTAAGAAATTCAAGTATGCGTGCTCAGATATGATATTTACTTTATTTTAATTATATCTAAGTTAAACCTGATATAGTTATGAAAATGAACGTGTTTAATCAACTTGAAGTTCCTTTGTAAAAATACTAGCTGTACTAATATAGAAAACTTAATTGTTAAAAAAATGAATAGCATATTGGACTGACTGTATTTTTTAATTATTTTCCCTTTTGAAAACATATCTCGTCAATTTGAGGACCATTTTGTATTATTAAGGCAAACCTTCCAATTAGATAGCGCAGTTAAATATGAAGACTTGGAGTTATTTTTGTATTTATGTTCTGTATCCAGACTGACTACGGTGGCGATCTACTTCCTGTCAATGGCGGGCATGGTCCTGTTCACCTTCACCTTGGACCAGGGAATACTCTGGGTGTTATACCTGTGTGGAGGAATACTTGGGTAAAAACCAACCTCTAGAAATATTGAAATAATATGACACAAAGCTAGCGCTGTTGTTGATGTTAATCAGTCAAGGTAGAAGGGGTGATTTTTCAGCAATAACCAGGCATGTCTGCTATATATACTTCCTGAGCTATTCGGTATGATTTATTGCTCGTTTGATCTAGGTAACCAATATTAGATTGAGGTTGACCCCCTCCTCCATAACAGGATAAAACTCATACGAATAACTGTCAATATTCTGTTTCCTCCATAAGCCCTCTCTTCGTCTCCATTTATCCTTATGTCTACCATTGATGTATCCTCTGAATGAAATGAATGTATTGTATTTTATAACCTTCTCCCATCAATCGCCCTACTTTCCATTTCCTAGTTTCTTCATGACGGGTTACCTTCCAGTGGGTTTTGAGTTTGCAGCAGAGCTCACGTACCCGGAATCTGAGGGAACATCATCGGGACTCCTGAACGCCTCGGCTCAGGTTAGTAAGATGTCAGATAAGGGTTAATACCTAGGCTGAATGCTATATTTCTTTTTTTTTTCTAAGTTAAAATCGATGGCATTATTTTAGGTTACATCGATTGCGTAATAAAGACAGTCAAATAAACCTTGGTTAATTCATGTTTTGTGCCTTTCAAACTCTTTGGAGTAAAAGTGAATTTGGCGTTTTATACATAGATTGTGTCCATAGAAATCTACTCGGGAGAGCTGTCAGTACACAGAGTAAACTCGCATCATCCCATCCTATTTTTTATTGTAGTTCTTCGGCATAGTGTTCACCACGTCAATGGGGGCGTTACTGAACAAATTTGGTCCTCTGGCCGCCAACGCCACTGTGTCTGGTGCCCTGCTGCTGGGGACCATAGGGACGGGTAAGAGACAGCGTCTTAATGTGGTCTCTGGGTGGTTAATGACTGTCAAGGAGACAAATAAGTGCCCTCTAACATCAGGGGCCTCTTCAACAGTATATACAGTTCAAATACAGACCGATACAATAGTTTTGTAACAGACTACCAGCGGGCCCTGTGGTCAGAGTAACAAATTAGGTAGAGGTTTATTTGAATTTACATGCCGTTTCCCCGGACTCTGAAAAGAAGATGTAACACTCCCATCACAGCGACGTTTTACGCCCTTTAAAATGTGATTATTGAAATCTGTTACTTTTGGAATGTTTAAAAATATAAAATCCTTTTTATCTATGTAATGAAACTTTCGTGTTCATTCATTACATTGCAGCTCTCATCAAGGGGCATCTGAGGAGACAGGAAGCCGAGAAAAAAGTAAGCCAAGCGGTGTATTAATTTCTTTGGGAATGCATTGTATTTAGCAACATTTGAATCCCTAGATTTACATACACTGAATGAATATCATATGCCAGTAGCAACAGTGCCACAGTGCGCATTACGGCTTGCTGAATGAATAGGCACGGTTCAATTTGCAATGTCATGATATTGAAATAGATTTCTTTCAGCAGTGTTCGGGATTTAAGCATGTTGATACATTGTAACAAACAATATGTGTGAGTAAACGGATAGCGTGACTTAATGGACAAGGTGAATTAAAATGCGCAGATTTAGACTGCACTTTTGTACTGTTAAGTATTATTTAGATTCTAAAACTAAACTTAGGTTAAATATACATTTCTAGGGAGGTCAATTGACAGCGTTCCTCACAGCAGATGATATAGTCGACTATGAACTATGAATCAGGTGCACTAGATATATTTGGTGTTGAAGCCACCCACTTCAGTGTGTTAGATAGTAGTCTGTGTTGCACTCAACTGCATGTTAACGCCTCTTCCGTAAAGCCACATTTACACCGGGCTTGCCACCCTGATGCCATACTGATCTTAATTGTCTCCCAGGGCGTCGCAAGCCCGCTGTAAACAAGGTTTATGTTGTACAGTGCATTTGCCGTTATTTATGTATTTATTTTTTTATTTATCTATTCATTAATTTTGTGTGTGTGATTTTGTAAAAGCAAATAATGTGACTAAAACAAAGAGCGACCGAGCCTTTTAATTACTTGCTCACAGCGGTCGTGGAATGGTAGCACATCTTTATTTTTGCCTCATAGTTTAGACTTTATTCTTTCATCATTACACACTGACAAAGCGTTTGCATGTTTGCTTGAAGTATGAGGATTACTTGATCCATGCATTTTTTCTTTTCCATAATTTTTCTTGTAGTTATAGTGTTTTTGTTCTCTTTTTGCCAATACTTTTTTTCAGTCTTACTACAACTACTGGTGACGATCTTTTGAGTTTGAAAGTGATATTTCCTTTACGGAGTTATTTCTTCTTCCATAATCTTCCATGTTGAATACTATCTTCAGTTGCCTTTGTGGCAGCTGTCAAATAATGATTTGACTTATTGTATGATATTGCATTTTAACATGCTTTTTAACTCATTTATTCAGCACTATCAGACAATTTGAAGCAGATTGTTAGACTACTCTTAGCCTCTTGTCTTATCCTTAACTGCTTATTTTCTGAACGTAACCGATTAATTTTCTACCAAAAATACACGGGTACAACCTTAAGGCCAGGCAAATTTGATAAGTTGGTTAACGACCGCAACCCACCCTGATTTTGTTGAAATTGTAGTTATTCCTGTCACTTTTTTAATTTATCTAAATGGAAAAAGTTGCATTGGGTTATAGTTTGGGAAGTGTGAGAAATGTACAACTGGAACGAGGAAATAATTTAAAGCTGTTTTATGCTCTTAAATCACCCAAACTTAACTCCCCCCCCCCCCCCGAATAGCTGCCTTGCTTAATTAACAGTATATATATAGAAACGAAACAATTCGTCTACCTATTTACAAAGAGTCAAGGTTTGTTAACCAACTTCTCGGTTTTCTCTGGACAGTATTGTTTTATTCCGTCCATCTTCGCTGAAGCCATGATATGAGATGCGTAAAATTCTGATGACCGGAGAAAATGAAATCAAAAGTTGTCTGTTATATTCTACAGGTACATTTATTTAAGTCCTTCATAATTTATCAAACCTGAGCGTAGCGAAGTAAATAATGTATGGATTAAATAATAACTATGCAAATGTTATGTCACCAGCCTGTGCGTCCAGTTCACATTCTTTTTCTATCTTTTCAGTATAAGCTACCGGAAGATGTCCCTTGCCGCAGTGACCCTGCAACACAGCAACAACCGGCCAACAACGGTACCGGAGAGCCAGAACAATCACCGCCATAAGTTGGCTGTCTTTTCTTTTTGTTTGATTTGAGATGCATAAGCGCAGTCCAAAATATATTGGCCTCTTCTCACTTAAAATCTCATTTCAGCAGTCAACTCAGCCATATATTTATCCAAATATACTTCGACGCCATAACTTTTCATTTGTACTAAGAATTATACTTGTATCGTCTATATTATCTTAATTTTCACGCCAATCTTACTACTTTATTTTGTTCCACATTTAGCAGTATTGGATATGTTCTCAGCTTTGAATCTTGTGTACTAACTTATGTTCACTTTCTATGGAGTGACTCCGGGATATCTCAGGAAGCGTTTTCTACATTTTAAAATATCGACCATCCAAAAAAAGGAAGAGAGAAAGTGTGAAACAATTTTCATGAAAACTTTCTCGCTTACTTACCATCAATCCTCTGATAATATAAGTTGTGGGTTTTACGGATTTTTTTAACTTAATGATTCAAAATATTAAACATAATAACTGTTCAGGCCCGTAGCCAGCAATTTCAAAAGGGGGGTTCTTTTTCTGAAAAAGTGGACCTTTTCCCATAAAAACTCCATGTACTAGATCAAATTTTACCCAGAGTGGACCTTTTCCCAGCAAAAGGGGCGGTTTTTTCGAACCCCCC